ATTTTCTATTGATGTAAATTCACTAAATAATTGTGTTTTAAATATTATTATTTTTCTCAACAGAGGCAATAAACTGCCTAAACAGAGCTATTGAGATTTACACTGACATGGTGAGTGTGCAAACTCTTCTTTGTTTATTAATTAAACATTCCTAATATTTACTTAACATGACCCTTCGATCTCTTCTTTGTTGTGTTTTTTTATCCGGGGCTTTAGGGCCGCTTCACCATCGCAGCCAAGCATCACATCACCATAGCTGAAATATATGAGACTGAGATGGTGGACATAGACAAGGTCAGATATCAGTCTTCACTAGGGCTGCAACAAACGACTAATTTGATAATCGATTAATCTATTGATTAATGAAACGATTAATCGACTATTCGGACTATTACGCCTTGCACAATTTCTCAAACGCTCTTATTTAGCCATCGACTTTTAGATTTAGCTTGAGGTTGTTTTAGGCATGTGGAAACTAACAATGAAGACAATAAAGATGAATACTTGATTCAAAAATACATATATTATTAAATTAACTAAACACATTTTGAACAAAATTAACATTGCTTTTATTTAAATTAAATAAATAATATTTCACATCAAAAGAAACAACAATGTTTTAACAAATCGTATTAAATAATATGATGACAGAACTGTAAACAGAATAGCTGAAACTTTAACAAAATAAATAACTCAGTTACCTCTAATCATTAACCCATGTTTGTGTAATTGAGTTAACTCCGTGTGTTGCTGCTAGCATACATAACACCTGACGTGGAAACGTTACTCAGGGATGGGGCTACAGAGCTACTAGAAAGACAGTGGAACCCGGTGCATTCCTCCGTCTGGATGTGGTGCACTTTTGCTAAATGTTTAGACAAATTGCTCGTGTTACCGCCCTTACATGCTAAACTCTTATTGCACTTTTGGCAACGAGCATCGAGACGGGTAAAGTTTAACCACACCTCGAGCGCGTTCTCTCCGCCATCTCCGCAGTGTGTTACATATTAGAAACGAGTTGGCGACACTAAGACTGCAATATAATGTTTTTGTAGCAATAATACATGACATATCTTTTTTAAATGTCTCCAGTACCGATAAAAAGACCAATAACGTTGGAGCTTAACGGTGCGTAAAACACACGTGATGACGTCACCAACGAATCGACGACTGAATTAGTTGGCAACTAATTTGGTCATCGATTTTAATCGATTAAGTCGATTAGTTGTTGCACCCCTACTCTTCACCTTTATTACCTTTATTGTATTCATTCCTGGGTAGATTCTTACTTCTTATTTTCATAACAACTAATAGCTGTTCTTTTATAGTCTCTCTCTTATGTCCATTTTCTATTCCAGGCCATTGCTCATTACGAACAGGCGGCAGATTATTACAAGGGGGAAGAATCCACCAGGTAAGTGTCAGATCAGCACTATTTCAGATGTTTTCTCTTGGCTCATTTTAGGGTGTAACGGTTAAAGTTATTTCCCCCTAATGAAAGCATTACATTTGAATTGTGCATCTACGTAAATGGGTGTATGTATATGTGTACATATGTATGTGTATATATAGAATTTTGTTTATTTGTGTGCTTATTTAATTACGGATTGAATAGGCGCTTTCACACCGCAGTACTTTTCCCACAAAGGTTCATGAGAACTCTTTAGGGGTAAAAAGGTTCTGATTAACTAATTTTAGTCACAGCTTTTTTTGGTGCGAACGCGACATTTCAGAACTATCGTGGAACTAAAGTGGGAAAAGTACTGCGGTGTGAACGCGGCTTATCTTTTTTCTTTATCCTGCAACTGGATGAATAACGGGAGGGCTATTTTCTGTATAAGCTATTCTTTCTGCCCTCCCGCTTCTACACATTTTGTTTGTTTGTCAGATTCATAAATTGTCTGTACTAATATTGAAATAGTAGAATAAATGTATACAAAAATAAAATAAACTTTTACGATTACAAGTTCAGTAAAATGGTGGTCTTTGAGTTGTGATGTCCGCAAATACACTAGGCCTAAATACATACATTTCCCTTTTTCAGCTCCGCAAACAAGTGCCTTCTGAAAGTAGCAACGTACGCAGCTCAGCTGGAGCAGTATCCGAAAGCCATCGAGATCTATGAACAGGTGAGAAAACACTCGGCACCAGAACCATTATCTTAACATGATTTTACTCGCTTTTATTGACAACAACAAACATGAGTTGTGCTGTTGTGATTTCAGGTCGGAACCCACGCGATGGACAGTACGCTCCTGAAATACAGTGCCAAAGATCACTTCTTCAAGGCAGCGCTCTGTCACTTCTGTGTAGACATGCTGAATGCAAAAGTAAGCAGAAGCACTAGAACCTGTTTACATCAATACCTGGTGTAACACAAGCTTAATAGTGATGCTCTTTGTCACCCAGCTCGCCGTGCAGAAGTATGAAGAGATGTTCCCGGCTTTCTCAGACGCTAGAGAATGCAAACTGTTGAAGGTAGGCTTTGATGTTATTAAGTCTTTAAAACTCACAAACAAAAACATCTAGATATACAGAGGCAAGGGGGATTAAGAGCTGAGATAAACCTTACAACTATACGAAGAAGATGATTTACTAAGTTCTATGGTATTAGATATCCAAAACAAAAGTTGGATTGTAATGGTCCTCATTCTAAATCTGCCTCAAAGACGTTTTACGCCCCTAGCATGGTAAAACAAAAGCACCAGCCTGCCCTGCAAACGTTTTTGGGGAAATAAAGGCTATTTGGCGCATGAGTCATACATCTATTGTGTAATGCAGACAGTGAATTGTAGCCTGTTTCTTAGCATCTCACTTTCTTTTACCCCCAGTGTGTATTTCTGTGTTCAAGCAGCCTTCCTGATGTTCATTATTGTTTTTATCCAACCAGAAACTTCTAGATGCCTATGAAGAACAGAACCTGGAAGCCTATACTGATTCGGTGAGTGCAAGTAGTCTCTCAATGTCTTTGAAGGCATTGAATTTAATTCCTTTGGGTTCCTGCTCATTTAAAAGGAAATAACAAGGTAGACGCACTGATTAAGTAAATCAGTAAAACAACATTTAACTGACATACAAATAGTGTTAGGTGTTATAACGATCATAAAGGACTATATACGCAAAACTTTGCAAGAATACTGTGGCCTGAAGGACATATGAAAGCATCTATACAATATTCAGAAATATGCACGTGGAAGAGAAATAAAGATAAAGTCACTCAGAATTAAATCAAACACAATTTTAATTTAAGAGCAACTCTAAAATCTTTGAGAATCTCGTTTTTTCTGCCAAGCTACTGCTCCACATCAGTCCAGTAGGTGGCGGTAATGCAATTCCTTCCTAAACGTTACACATTTAATCAGTCTAAAATTCATTAAGGCTGTAACCATGGCTGTAACATTTTCATGGCATGTTTTACACCCCTTATGCTACTGCATAGACTCACTCCGACTTCAAGCTGCAGCACATCGACAACTGTGATTAAGAGATGATACTTAGTGTTGTTTGTATAGCAACTCAATAGAAGTATAATATAGTATATGATATTGTTAGACAGTATAACAATAACAATATATGATAGAGTGCATGCATGGGATGCAAAAGATATAATTAAATAAGTATATTTCCTGCTCATGTTCTCAGGTGAAGGAATTCGACACCATTTCCCGGCTGGACCAGTGGCTCACCACCATGCTTCTGCGCATCAAGAAGACCATACAGGACGATGAGAGCGACCTCCGCTGACTCCCCTCCCCGCTCGGGACGTCGAACCTTCAGCAGCCGACTTGCATCCTCCTTTTTGCCTTGAGCCTCTCACTTCCATTCTAGCAGCAATCTTAATTGTTTTACCTCTAGACCCTTATATCCCCTCGCAGATTCTGTGCTCTTTCCGACAGATCTGCAGTATTTGTTCTTGCCTTTTACCGCTCAAGTCAATGCTTTAAAAACGATGCTCTTCATAGCTATGAAGACTATTTTCCCGGTGTGCGCTATGCACACTTTATGTTGCTTGTATACCGTTGTTGTTTTGGTATTGGCCTAATATTAGTTTAAATAATCATAATGGGCTGCAATGCTAAAAACTCATACCAGCACACTTATATAATAAAGGTTTTCTTTTTGTTTCTTTTGTTATGAAATGGATGAGAGGATACCAATTTATTAACTTTGATCTACAAATGATATTTTCCAGAAAATGCTTTGGAATAAACTTAGTTGACCAAAAAGCCAAGAAGTACACACATTGGTTTTTAGTATTTTTGAGTGCTCGAGTATAGGTCATATCAGGGCACCTCTAATTAAACAGCACTAAATCTCAGCTGCAGAGCTCCTCTCCGAGCAGAGAGGCCAAGAGTTTCTGAGGTTGAGCCACGGCAAATACCCACTTTGCCTTATATCGCAAAGTACTCAGGACGACAACAAAAATCATGCTTTGGAAGCTTTATCCATTAATTTGCTGATTGTTTTTTTTCATTTCCATGTAAAGTGCTTTTATCTGAAAAACAAAGCTCATCACATTTGCATGGTTTGGTTAGGATGAGAAAAAATAACAGGCCTTTTCCATTGTATAGGAGTTATTTGTCTTTTTTTTCTATTTTCTGTGATTGTCTGATTTGTGTTTATTATTTTTTTTTCTGTCATAACTAACCTGGCTGGGGGAAAAAGCCTGCACGAGATGCAATACATTAAAGAAACAGGAGCTTTACTGATCTGAACACTGTGCTCATGTACCCTCCTGGTGATTTTGTCAAGAGACAATTGGTCTTAAATCATTTGTACATCGTGTTTCCTGTCAAACGTTGAATAAACCTGTCTCAGACGCACTGGGCGTGGCCTCCTAATGCATGCTGTGGACCGTGAAGTGATCACCTGACCTATGAACAGAGCTTTTCCCACAGTCTGGTAGAGAGCTGCACCTGCATGCGCGTGCATCGCTGGCCAGTTCCCCACGCTTCGGACACGCCCACCGCCAAGCGTCAACGCACGTGTAAGCTCCTTTAGTGAAAAGATGCGGCGGGAAGCTAAATGATGTTTGTCTGTACCTGTCGGTAGGACCTCACGGCTCCTGGATAATATTTGTTCTTCTGCCGCTTCAGACTCAGCTTCTGCTCGGTGGCCTTTCATCTTGGATTAAGTAAGTATTTTACAAACAATGTTGAAAAATCACTTGCTGTTTTATCTGCAGTTCAAAGGTCTCCCCTATTTATCAAACCTTTGTCACTTTGTGCTTTTTCCATTGATTGGATTGGACGCCTCAAACAAAGCGGTTAAAACGATTCAATAAGTTATCCTTATGCATTTTATGTCTTAAATTACAGGTCAGTTTTATAATTTACTGTGATGCTGTTTAAAGAAAGAAGCCCACTAAGGATTTAACCGAGGTGTTGTTTGTTCAAGGCTGGTCTGCTCCTAATTAGACTCTGGGGACACAGGTGTGTTCAGGTGGGAGAACTGGAATACTCTGGTACAAGTCAAAGTCCTGCAATCAAAGTGTTACTCAAGTAAAAGTATTAGCACGAAATATACTTACAGTACCAAAAGTATACTCATTATGCCGATTGTCCCATTTCAGAATAATATATATATCATGTTTTGAATATAATTATTTATATCAAAGCTGGTAAAGGTGCAGCTAGTTTTAGTTACTTTGTATACCTCAGGGTAGCTTGTGGATTTACTCAAGGTGTAACTAAAGTCTGATCTAAGTGTTGATTTCACATCAATAATCCAAATCTGCAAAGTAACTAAAGGTATTAAATAAATGTAATGGTGAAACAGTAAACGCGTTGCCTCTGAATTGTAGTGGAGTAGAAGTACAAAGTAGCATATGGAAATACTCAAGTGTTCGGGCTCCCTTTCTGCCAGACCTTTAAACAAACTGCACACATCGGTAGCGAAGGCATGTCATTTTATTGAAAAAGTGTTCGAAGCTTTATTTATCCTCTCACATCAGCTCACTTAAATAATAATAATAATAATGAATTACTAATTGATACCCTGGGGAAAATGGTGTGTTGCTTTACAATTACTTCATTTAAGAATGAATATAGTACATTTATTTGTTGTACTTTAAGTTCATTTTGATGCTAATACTTTTACTTGTAACAGAGTATTCCTACACTCTGGTACTTCTACTTAATTACAAGATCTGAGTACTTCTCCCACCTCTGCGTATAAATATAGACTTATCGGAAATAGTAATGCAAAAATATGTACATTGTACTACAATCTGGGAATATACAATTAGTATAACATTGTCAATAATTAATTCTGGAAATAGTTTAAATATCAAATTAAATGTACAGTAGAAATGCCAGTTATTGCACAGTTAAGGCAGTCTTGCAACCAATGCAATCCCAAATAATTGGATCAATCTTTTTAGGCTTGTTACTTGATTATGGAGATTTTTTTAATTATTTTCTCAGCATTTAAAATGGAGGTAAGTCATTCTCTTAACAATTTTTATAATTTGCCAACAGTGATTTATTCATTATATCAGATCTTTAAAGGTGGGGTATGTCATTTATTTCAGGAACACTTTTGTTATATTCCATGGAATGCTCTTAACATCCCGATAGCAATGAATATATTAAATGCGTTGACAATAAATACATAAAAAGATTGTCCTCTGTGGAAGCCGTAGCGCTGTTTAATAAAGCACGACCAATCATATGAGCCGGGCCGGCTAAAGTAACTGGATGGCCTACCTGCCTGCCAGCCTTCCATCTGTGCACAAACTTATCTCGTGCGCTCATTGGTCATGTGCGCGTGTTGTGTGTGTTGGAGGAGGGGCTCTGTAAGGAAGTGGCAGATTTTTTTCCGGTTTGTGTTTTTTCAAATTCTAGCGCACTCGAGCTGGTTTGAAAAAATGACTACCCCACCTTTAAGTGTGATGTTTACCAATTGGAACATCCAGAAGTAATGTCATTTAATACCATACTATGAAGTTAATTGTTAATTTCTACTGAGGCTGTAATGTTTGACGTGTACATTAACATTATGTTGTTGTCTGGTGTGTTCTGTTGGCAGGTGGCGCCTGCTGTGTAACCTGAACACAATAACACCCCAAGCCCAGAAAACATCTCCCTTGAAAGATGATCCAATTCTAGGAACAAAACACCATTAAGCTTTGTTTACTCACGTCAATGAGACGCATTAAAACCTTCAGTGCTATGGTCCTCCTCGTCTCTTTATTTCTGATCTTTTTCTACTCAACCCTAAACCTGGAGACGACCTACAGTCGCAGGGCTGCACCAGAGGAACTCCTCACGCATCCCGGCCTCCATGTCAATGAAAGGGATGTGAAAACACAACACTCCAACACACCTCAACCAAATGCCTATAATGTATCTGTCTGTAAAGACTTCAGAAAAAGCGTCCCTCAGAACGCAGCGTACTGGAACCGCCTGCTGTGGTCAGCCCTCAGGAATCTGGACAAGCGAGAAACCCTCATCAGCCATGACCTCGATTGGTCTCGCTGCAGGGAGACAAATCAAGAGCTTCTGCAAACCAATGTGCATGACTTCACCTCCTACCCCCGTCTTATTCCAGGACTTCTTGCAGGCCATGAACTGCAGGACCACCCCCTGTCCTTCTCAATCAACCCAACAAGTGCCCCTCTGGTGAGGGCAACCAGACCTTCCTGCTTTTTTGCTATTAAATCGAATCTTGGAAACTTTGAGCAGAGGCAGGCGGTGCGGGGAGACCTGGGGGCGAGAGGGGAAGCTCAAGGGTGGACCGAGGGTGCGCACTGTGTTTCTGCTGGGCAGCTCCCCTCTGGATGACCCTGACCTCAGCCAACTGCTGTCGTTTGAAGCAAGGCACTTTGGGGACGTTGTGCAGTGGGACTTCCATGAATCCCCTCTTGAACCTGACGCTCAAATTGAACCTGCTTTTCCAATGGACACTGAAATACTGTACTAATGCCTCCTTCGTCTTCAGCGGGGGATGACGATGTATTCGTCAACACGCCAAGGTTAATCGGCTACATGCAGTCACTGGAGCCGTCCCAAGGCCTCTCAGTTGTATGTTGGACATGTTATAAGCACAGCAAATCCCCTCAGGGACCCCAGAAGCAAATACTTACATTCCTCTGAGCTTCTATGGGCTGGCCCATACCCTGCTTACGCTGGCGGAGGCGGTTTCTTATCTCTGGAGCATTGATGAAACCCCTACATTCAGTTTCACGCATCATCCCTTTTTTCCCCATCGACGACGTCTACGCTGGGATGTGCTTTAAAGCTTTGGGGGTTTCTCCAGAGGCAAACGAGCGCTTTCAGACATTCGACATCAAGGAGCAGGATCGCGAGAATCTGTGTGTTCATAAAGATCTGTTTCTCATTCACCAGCGCTCCCCACAGCAGATAAAGAAGCTGTGGAAGGGCATTCACAGCCCGTTGTTGACTTGTTGAACAGGAATGATGAGCAACAGGAAAATAGGCCCAAAGAGAGTAAACATTGACTGCAGCGACATTTTTGGAGCTTCCAGCCTCCCTTCAAGATTTTTCACTGCCAATTCAAAATTAACACTTTCTAATTGTGTCTTTAACTAAATGTCCCTATTGTGCCATTGAAGTTAAATAAATCAAATCAACAAAGACTTTTGAAAGTTCCTTAGTTTATTTTGCGCATAACACCAAACATGAGTTTACAGTTCTAGGATTTAGTATAGTGTGTAACAGCATTCAAACCCATCTAAAACTTGGGTGTCACAAAAAAAAAGAAAACGTATTTGAAATAGGAATTGTTTAACACAAGTTAGTAAAATCACCACAATGATACAGAAGAAAACATGGTAAATACATTGATCACTGGAAAAAACTGTAACAGGAGTGAAAACAGGGGTTAAACTTTTAAACTGTTTATTGCTCGATTTGAATGTTTTTTTTTTTTAGCATTCAAACTGCACCAGGTGTTTTTGCTGCACTTTTATTTAAATAGTACATAGGTGACCGAAGAATAACTGAAACAAAAGTGTGATTAGCATTTGTAGAAGAGCTTTACTACCGGCAGTAAATCTATTAACTTAAGGCACCAAACCCAGAGGCATGAAGTACAATTTAGTTTTAAAACACAATCTTTTTCTTTATTTGTGCAGATAGAAATTACACCTCAAATCTATAATTTCATGAATACAGTAGAAGGTGTGCATTGGTTTATCCCAGTCCTCACCCACTCAACAATATATCACACCATCCTTACTGTGAAATTGGTTCTTTATCAAACAGCTCAAAGGGGTAGTGCTCTTTGTACTGCTTCATGTGCCTCCACATGGCATCTCTCTGCTTGTTCAGATTGGGCGTCATCTCCTGGTACACGTCGGTGAACATCAGCTCAATGTTCGGCTTCAGGCGTTTCTCGGCCTTCTCGAAGGCCTCCATCACCGTCTTGCGGGACTGCTTCCTCCAGCTCTTCTCGTCGTCCTCGCTCCACCAGTTTCTGGCTGTCATGTAATGCCTCAGCCTGGAGATGGGATGGTCCTGCTTGTCCCAGTAGTTCACCTCGTCCACAGAGCGGTAAGCTGAACTGTCGTCGCTGGTGCTGTGGTGGCCGATTCTGAGGGGGCAAACAAGATTATATAATTATAGTTCAGCTTTTATTAGCATTTAATGGGTGTGTATGTTTTATATATTCAAGCCCTACAGAAAATTTAAAGTTTTAAAATGTTTCTCTTTATACATATTTAAACACTGGTTTATAGAACATTACTTTTCATTATGTTTTGGTATTGTGGAAATTAATGAAACTCAAATATAATTAAAATGTAATATAATCAGTAAGCTAAAGATTAAGAAATCATGGCAGAAAGTTACTGCTGTAATGCAGAAAAAAACAACAACCTGTTTTTAAATATTATATCTACACACCGATTGTCAATGTATTTCCATAACTGCAATTTTGTTTTCCCTATTCTATAAAGTGATGTATTTGGTTGGGGTGAGGATTCAACAGGTTACTGTGTTTTCTTGTTTTGTCTCAATTTGAAAAATAAATAATGTATTTGAACAGTTGTAAAGATATGTTCTATGATTCCTCAACTTCTGTAAGTTTGTATTCACTGGCAGCTCAACACATTGTGCTGTGTGTTAACAGGTATTAGAGGGTAAAAAAACTGCATGTGTGAAATGCACTTTATAAAGCCTTTTGTGGCTCCAGAGGTAAGAAGTACGTTTTCCAAACATCTGTAACCTAAGGCTACAGAAATTGTCACTGAACTGAACACACCCAAAACTCCAATCAAACGGCAGTAGTGTATTGTGGGTAATGCAGGCACCGGGTTATTTACATGGATAAAGAGACAAATGTGATTTCTGTTTTAAAAAAAAAAAAAAAAAGAAGCCAACTTAAATACATATATATTTTAGAAATATTGTACATCTTTTGTAAAATTTGTAAATTCAGCATTACCTACATATTTAAGTAGCAAAAATAAAACATTTCTAATAACCACATGACAAACCTCAAAATCATAACTCAGTCAGAATCATGAGCTGTCGGCTTAAGTCACTTCATGAGACAGTCTAGAAATACAGAGTGGTTTCAGATAGTTCCAACAATAACTAACCTGTAGGTCATTGCCTCGATGAGGAAGGGCTGGTTCTCAGCCACAGCCCTACGGCGCGCCTCTTTTGTAGCATTGTACACAGCAAACACATCGTTACCATCGACACGGATGGAAAGCATGCCATAACCCGGACCACGGGCAGCTGGTCAAACAGAAAGAATAAAACGTATTTACATGAGAGCCCCCCCAGTAATTCCAATCGGATGACTCAGTTAACCACATCAAGGCTTCGTACCGATGCCATCTCCCCTGTACTGCTCGTTGGTGGGGGTAGAGATTGCGTAGCCGTTGTTGCGACAGAAGAATATTATTGGGCACTCTAGGGTGGCGGAGAAATTGAAGCCTGCATGTGCGTCCCCTTCGCTGGCCGCTCCCTCACCAAAATAACAGATGACAGCACGGTTCATGTTTTCCCTCTTTAGAGCGTATGCAGCTCCGGCCGCTGAAACGGAAACGTCCAGCATTAATAAACATTTACAGGTGTATGTATGCACTAACAGATAAGAGAGGTTGAACAGGTGTAGAGAGCTCACCCTGTGGAATCTGAGTGGCCAGAGGAGAGGAGATGGTGACGAAGTTCAGGTCTTTAGAGCCGTAGTGGACAGGCATCTGACGGCCCTTGCCAAGGTCATCAGCATTGGCATAGCACTGAGCCATGAACATATCCAGAGGGAAACCACGGTACATCAGCACTCCTGCAGGGCAGAAGAGGAGTTATAACACTGTTACTCGCAAAACACACAACTTTAGTATTACTAGCATAAGAACATGCAAAAGGTGTATTCAGGTAGGTTGATTGCTATGATCTCTCTCAAATCTTTAAAAAAAATTAACCTTTATCTTAAAAATACTATTATATATCTTTTTTAAATGATGTCTGATTCTTACCAGCTTCTCTGTATTGACCGAAGACTATGTCCTCTGGGTCAAGTGCAGCAGCACTACCAATATGTGTCCCCTCCTCTCCATAGTTGGTCATGTAGAAAGAAATCCTACCCTGTAAGAGAATTAAAATCAACAAAAATGTCTTCCGCTGTTCCATGAGGAAATGTAAGAGGAAACACTTACCTGTCTCTGGGACTCATAAAGAATGCGGTCCATCGTGTTCAGCAGAGTCATCTTCTGATAAAAGTTCAGAACTTGCTCTTTGGAGAGCTGAGTTGGGAAGAAGTACACAAAGAACCAACCGTTAACGAAGTGGAGGTCACAGTGATATTTTTATTAACCAGGATTGCAGGCAGGCTGACTGTACCTGAGGGTCTTGAGAGGGGTCGATGATGTTGCCCTGCCTGTCCATCACCCGGTACACTGGGATCCCGGAGATGACATTGGGCTGGATGAACTCAAGATGATCCACAAACTCTGCTGAGGCCCCAGGGAACTGTGGTTTTTCCAGTGATGAGTCAAAGGGCTGCTGTCGTTGCACGGCCTGAAAGCAAGCCATATTTATTAAAAAAACATCACTAAGTATGTGGCAAAGCAAGGCCCTCTTTAAAATAGAAACCACAAAAGGGGATTTATATTTATCTTAATAATGTCATCCAGCTGGAAAAAGGAGCTGCTTTGTTGTGACTTCAGAGGAAACTGACTTTGTGCATGATGTGAAGATGATGCAAAGTGACTTCATTGTAAATAGCTAAATGTCCTGTTTTAATCTAGTATAGTAGTGGTACCCAGGTTTGATTTGAATACTTAAGTAACTGTTGACAAGATAAAATGTTTTTGTTAATAAATCAGATCGTCAGAAATCGAAAATTAAAAAGTTATTGACATGGGCATAGAGGAAGCAGATTCAGCACACTTAAGACCAGCAAATGTTTTTTTTGTATTCCATGGGAGCTGACAATACCAGTTGTAATAACATATTTCTACTTCTAGTTGATCTTGATGACGGAAGCTCTCTCCGCACTCCCCTTTGCTCCACCAATAAGAATGCAGCTAGCCCAAGCTATCCAGCTAGGTATCTGGCTAGCAGCTTTAAAGTCACAACAACAAACAACATCCCAGTCAAGCTGCGGATTACATTTTAACCCAGATAAAGGCGGACACCCTTTAGTTTGACCTCGTAAGACTACGTTGAAGACACAGTAACGTTATATAACACTACGTATAATTAACGCACTGTTAGATCCTGCAAGGTTGTCAGCTAAACTAAAGTAAGCTGCCACAGAACGTCTCGCGATAACTGAAGAAGTCACGCTGGTCGTACGTTTGGTGAATTATTGATGCATGCATTCCCCAACTCTAGTCAACGGCTGAAATCCTAACCCAAACATAACAACTTCAGACGTTTTACTTAAATGTAGATATTTCGTGGGTGATATGTTAACTTAGCATCGTCTGTTTGACCTTTTTAGCTAAAATGAGATCCCTTCTTCCGACAATCCTGTGGTTGCTAAAGCGACCTTTCCTGTTATTATGCTAACGCCCGCTCCCTGAACGACAATAAAGCATTGTTTTGTATACTTACACCGACTCTGAAGGCTCTGTGTTGAAGCAGACGGGATGCCTTCAGTCCTGCCGTCCGACGAGCAGCATGAACACAGACTCCATACAGTTTGTTCATACTCTTCACAGCCGCCATTAGTCCACAGCTGTTAGCTTGTGCGCTAGTTTTTCAGGAATGCTAAACTCTACAGTAAATATATGAGAGCAGTGCAACAAAACTAGACAGGTTTGACCCCTTTTTAGTCTGCTGCGCTGCTATTCACATCCACAACCACACTAGCCAGGTCAAATTGTTACACGGTCGTTTCGAGTCAACCTTGACTTCCGGTCTCACCTTCAAATTAAAAGTCAACGGGACCAAAAAAAACAACAACACCAAAATGCTTTTAACAGGGGAACCGACTTTGGTGGAAAGGCACTCAGATAATTGAAACAACCAAAGTTTAGAAATACTCTGTACAAGTAAGATATTATTGAAGTAAAAGTACTTAATATAAGCATCAAAATATTATAAAAGCCCTAAATAAAAGTACTCATGCAGAATGACCCATTCAGTATTAATGTATATTGTGTTTTTTTATTATAATAAGTGATGTAGTCATATCAAAACCACAAGGTTTTAGTGTAAGAAGTAACAAATATCTAAAGTTGTGAACAAAATGTAATGTAGTAATCATTTACTATAAAGAACATGATATGATAATACTCGAGAAAAGCACAATGTCAAAACTACTGCACTAGGTAGGCTACAGTGCATCATTTATGTTCTTAGTTACATTCCACTCTTTTTCTTTGTAATGTTTAGTACTGAAAAGAGCTTAATTAATAAGCGTTTTTTTCTGGGTCATGCTTTGCCAGTATATATGCCTAATGTATAGCCACATTGGCTTACATGCACACCAAATTAGTTGAAGTTGCCTTTACAGTTTTATCTCTGAGAATTAAAGGCAGTTGTCCTGATGTTTGATGACTTCATTCATCCCTCTTTATATTTATCACATAGTAGAGGTTTTCATGTCACTCAACAACTCAAGTCATAATGGCAGCTTGGGTTGAGGGAGCGAGGGCGGGTTGAACATGCTCCTTGCTGCAATGTGATCAGAATAAAGAAAATACTAGCTGAGGTCTATCTTTGCACAACTTCAGCTCTGCCCCATGTACTTCACCTAGTAGTGAGTTAACTTTATGCCATCCTACAGTTGTTGATTAAATGGATTATAGACAATTAAAAACCTCTGCAATGTCCTCAACAAAAAGAGGGATGACAATAAGCCACCAATCAAAGCTGAGCTGCTTACATTTTCACACCAGGAATATAAGAAGAGCAGATATAGAAGACTGCAAACAAAGTCTGTGGGAATCAATTAAACCTTTGATCTCTGACTTTCTCTCCAGTAGCACCTAAGTTCTGTAATAATACAATATGTGTGGTTGCATGAAAAGCCAGTTTACACACACATCACCATCACCATCACCTCTTTCACTGAAAGACCCAGCTTTTCTTTCTGGTGGTCATCTGATAATATCCACTGCAAGATATGAGTGCCCTGTAACAGTCATAACATTGCGGCTGACGGGCTGCTCTGTGATTTAGTGGTTCCGCAAGTAGTCATAGCCGGGAAGTCTGATCTCAGGCCGATGCACGGATAATCTTTTAACAAAACGAAAGACAGAAGTTGAGGAGGAGAAAAAACACTGGACCCGGGGTTTGATCCCATGGAGGGACAGAACCATAATCTGATGATTTATGGTGCGAAGTAACCACTGAGCTATAACCAGTGCAAGTATCAAGGATCACGATTATGATAGCTCGTCTTGTCTGCTTTGTAGGCTACTAAACACGGCTTGTATCGAAGAACCACTGTAATATGCTGCAACAGTGGTTTTATCCACTAGAATAAAGACATTTAAAAGCAGGGACGTGCACAGACATTTGGAGGGGCTATTGCTCTAAACTGGAAACCCGAAAAAAAACACAAGACCTTTTGAAAATTCTAACTTGTTTTTAATGTAAAAGGTTCATAAAATAAAACACAACACTCATTGCAAGTGACACTCAGTTAACTTTTATGTCCAACTGCTAAATTCGTTATTCAGGCACATTTTTAGTTTTGCGGTCCATATCTCATTAAAATATCTAATGCTAGTAATTATTAAAGAAAAAATGGGGACAATCCTGTTTTAATGTAGTTTTACCATTGTAACTGCTGTGCAGACATACTGATCAAATCAACCCGGTATCACGGCAAGACGTGAACATGTGACGATTTACCAGAGACGTGAAGATGTCACGATTTCGTCCCCTTCAAACGTGACAGCTACACGGTATTGTTAACCCATGTTAACCAGTGGAGAAATAACCGGAAATCCCAAGCAAATGCTACCCCGACGTAATGATTTATTTTGTAATAGTCACACTCGATTACGGCGATTTTCTTGTTGCCCCAGCTGGTCGACACCTCTTTTAGCAGAAACAAAGGCTACATTAATGTATTAAATCGATGTTAATCCATGCGTGTGGATGTGGAATTAACGGACGTGACGTTGTGCGATTGAGTTGCCAAGCAACAGCTTCGGTTCATGTTAATTTACAAACTATTCAACTACAACCGTAGTTATATTTAAAAACATGTTAGAAGGCCTCACGAAATACTTTAATGCACATTAAAATGTAAAGGTGAAGGAATGTGTGTATAACAAAATACATCGGTCATTAAACGAAACCGGAAACAGACGTAGGCAAGATCCTCAGCTCGATGATTGGATGGTTATCCGCAATGCATGCTGGGATTTGGTGTTTATGTGATGTGAAATCTGAAAACGTTTTTTAAAAATACAATAATACTTTATTCCGAGTGTGCTTGCTTTTCTCTTTGAAAGTCATCACATAACGGCATTGTAATACACGGTTTCGGCTGCATTAAATATTACATATCTGCCGTAATTCTCTATTTATAGAGCCGTGCTGAGAAGACTTCTGGACAAACAGGAGAACTGCCGCCAAAACTGAAGATGTGACGTGGATCATAAATATATAAGCAATTAAACAACATCTTACATTTCTTTTCACACAATACGTATTATAATAATATTAAGCCTGACAAAGTACTTAACGTCTAATATATTGCTTTCCTGCAATGTTAACTATGTTTAAGCACTTATTTGTTTATTATTAAGCTGATATTATACATATGTATTATACTCTTATAAGATGTATGTAGATAGTATAAGAAATGTGCAGAATGACAGTTTAATGGTGGAGTATACACACATATTGATAGATGTCTTGTAATGCACTGTTGAGGAACCTGCGACCCAAGTTTGTCATTCATTGCATAACTACACAGTAGTTGTGTATAATATGATATGTCAATAAACCTTAGCTTAGAAAATCTTGAAATCTTGAAAGGGATGTGCAAACTAGTCATTATATACAGTCTTTAATGAACTATTAGTAGAGAATAATGAGTAATGAATATACTTTATAGGGATCCTATTAATATCTAATAATAAAATAATAAAATTCAATAACGTGCTTTAACCACCAGATGTCCCTTTCTATCAGCTCTGCACCGTTATGGTGTAAATACAGCCTATCTACGAATTGGATCAAATATAAAAGTCAGCCGAATTAGTGTTGATACTGCAAGGAGACGCATTGTGTGAAAAGAAATGTAAGATGTTGTATAATTGCTTATATATTTATGATCCACGTCACATCTTCAGTTTTGGCGTATCTCCTGTTTGTCTAGAAGTCTTCTCAGCAGGGCTCTATAAATAGAGAATTACGGCAGATATGTAATATTTAATGCAGCCGAACCGTGTATTACAATGCCGTTATGTGATGACTTTCAAAGAGAAAAGCAAGCACACTCGGAATAAAGTATTATTGTATTTTTAAAAAACATTTTCAGATTTCACATCACATAAACACCAAATCCCAGCATGCATTGCGGATAACCATCAAATCATCGAGCTGAGGATCTTGCCTACGTCTGTTTCCGGTTTCGTTTAATGACCGATGTATTTTGTTATACACACATTCCTTCACATTTACATTTTAATGTGCATTAAAGTATTTCGTGAGGCCTTCTAACATGTTTTTAAATATAACTACGGTTGTAGTTGAATAGTTTGTAAATTAACATGAACCGAAGCTGTTGCTTGGCAACTCAATCGCACAACGTCACGTCCGTTAATTCCACATCCACACGCACGGATTAACATCGATTTAATACATTAATGTAGCCTTTGTTTATGCTCAAAGAGGTGTCGACCAGCTGGGGAAACAAGAAAATCGCCGTAATCGAGTGTGACTATTACAAAATAAATCATTACGTCGGGGTAGCATTTGCTTGGTATTTCCGGTTATTTCTCCACTGGTTAACATGGGTTAACAATACCGTGTAGCTGTCACGTTTGAAGGGGACGAAATCGTGACATCTTCACGTCTCCCAGCATGGTAAATCGTCACATGTTCACGTCTTGCCGTGATACCGGGTTGGATAAAATAGGGCTTCTAACTAATTAGGCTACCTTAAATAAACTCACTAATTAATTAAACCAGTTCAATACGCATTATTCTTATTCTTATCATTCTTTATGAGCACAGTAACGGTAAGGTATCTAATTACTTATTTATTTAGAATCCCATAACTTAAAGGTGGGGTATGTAATTTATTTCAGAAATGTGTTATATTCCATGGAATGCTCTTAAAGGTCGGGTAGGTAAGTTTGAGAAACCGGCTCGAGATACACTTTTTGTTATATTCCATGGAATGCTCTTAACATCCCGATAGCAATGAATATCTTAAGTGTTTTGACAACAAATCCATAAAATTCCATCATCTGTGGAAGCCGTAGTACTGTAAAAAGCACGACCAATCATTTTAGCCGGCCCGGCTAAAATAACTGGATGGCTTACCTGCCTGTCAGCCTTTTCTGTGCACAAACTTATCTCGTGCCCTCATTGGTTGTGCGTGTTGGAGCAGGGGCTCTGTAAGGAAGTAGCAGATTTCTTCCGGCTGTGCATGCATCTCAGGTCGATTATTTTCATTTCCTCGCTCGTCGGTCCTCGGTATCACCAGAAGTTGATTTGTCTGCGCCATCTTGAGTAGCGTCCCATGGCGCTTATTTCTGCCGGAGGACCGAGGATCGAGGAGCGAGGAGCGATAATGGAGGAGCGATAATCGAGGAATCACCAGACCATCCTCCGATGAAATCCTCAGATACTCGCCCCGCCCCCTTACTGTGTATCGCTCACTGATTGGACGATGCAGCGCATGCACTGATCTGATGCTTCTTGACATGAGAGCAGTTTCCCAGCGGAGTGAAGAAAACACATGAATCTCGGGTGTGGAAGCAAACAAGAGACAGAAGTATTTGAATTTTATTAGACACCGAATTTATAGCATTGAAAATAATTACTTTGAAAATCATGAATCTGAATTTTTTTTGCTCCGAATTTATCTATGTGAAATAAAATTGTAAAAATTCAAGTTAAAAAAATTCGAATGTTCAAATTCAGATCCCAAAAATTCAAGTGAAAAAAATTCGACGTCAAATATTTCGGTGTTTAAAATTCGATGTAAAAAAATTCGGTGTGTAAAATTCGACGTCAAAAATTGCGATGCAGCCTCATCCGGGCTACTCAGACAGGATAAGCAATCGAGCCCTAATGCAATCAAACCAACTTCTGGCCTATCAGAGCCAAGCGGCAAACCCCGGGACAGTGCGGTGAAGCCCAATGCTGCAAACTGTAGGCGATGGATGCAGATGGGAGCAATTCCCGTAGACCCTTTGTTAAAATGTCCAACTTAACATCAGAAAATGAACATGTTTCTAGCCTGGATCTACAAAAACATATTCTGTATATAGTTAGATTCCCCCTTCATGACAACGGGGCTGCTGCTCCTAGCTCCTCTCTGCTAGCTCCGTTAGCTCCGTGATGCTACAGCGGCTCAGCTCATGAGGAGAACACTACTTGAACTCGGCCATGTTTGTTGTGTTGGTTCCTGGTGGACTATTCGTCCTGCAAATATAGGATTGATCTGCCGTTGAAACAGACCGTCCATGAATGCAGTTTCTTCGGTAAGTCAACCCTGCGTACTTTATGTTATGTTACTGGTGTTTTTATTAAGCTAACGTTAATGAATGTTTAGAGTTGGGGTAGCATTTGAGCAATCGTAGCTCCATCTGTGCTAACGATGCTATGCGTAGCATCCAAGAGTGTAAAACATTAAGTGGGATGCTACTGTATACCAAAAGGCTTCTGTGCGAGGTTGCTAAAATAAGGTCATCTTTGTACGTTAGATAGTTAGTTTGCTATTTAGGTTACTGTATGCATTGTTAAGGTTCATTTAAATTCGCTATGCTCTACTATAGCATAACATAGACTAGCTAACGTCAACGTATTGTTGAAGAGAGGCTTAGTGTATATTAAATCAACCTCACAATGAAATATGTGTATCTTTAAAATATGAACGTCACATTTCAAGATAATAACGCTCCCTTAGATATTGTAATATGGTTTGATGAACTGGAGTTATTTATTGCAGCTAACCGTCTATCCGACGAACGACCCAAACATTGTTGTTTTTAATATTATTACCAATGCCTCTTTTAATTGTATTATCCTCACACTTGAGAAACAGCCTCATCGTGGCTGTAGAACAGAACATGTAACTTAATTCCTGCATTTAAGGACGATGAATAGCGTAGTCAATGCTTTAGTGACAAGGAAATGATTTGTTTAAATATGATATATGACGTTATCTGTGACTTCAGTGGAAATTAAGCTTATCCATTGCATTTGTTCAATAGGTTTGTGTCTTACCCTTACGCGTGTGATGCATATGAATATGGCATATGAAAACAAATTAATTTGACTGACTCATGAAAACCTCATCCAAAGTAACAGTAAAATAAAAAGGACCTACACAATAATACTCAATCAAACTGATACAGTATAAGGACTGTGATATCCAGCCATTTCTTAAGTATAACAATAAGATTATGACCTGTTTTTAAAAGAAGATAAAAAGTTGTTTGCATGGAAAGAAGTCTGTAACCCATGCATGTAACTTTACATCTGTTTGTTCAAAGTGTCCTTAAGGTGATCCAGACAGGCTGGACCAGAGGAGGAGAAACAGACCTGGACCAGAGGAGGAGAGACAGATCTGGACCAGAGGAGGAGAGACAGACCTGGACCAGAGGAGGAGAGACAGATCTGGACCAGAGGAGGAGAGACAGACCTGGACCAGAGGAGGAGAGACAGACCTGAACCAGAGGAGGAGAGACAGATATGGACCAGAGGAGGAGAGACAGACCTGGACCAGAGGAGGAGAGACAGATCTGGACCAGAGGAGGAGAGACAGACCTGGACCAGAGGAGGAGAGACAGACCTGGACCAGAGGAGGAGAGACAGATCTGGAGTCCTAGCAGCAGAGAACTTCAGCACGGATTCCAAGGTACACCTTTTTCATGCTTTACAAAGAATGCATAAAGTAATGACTCCAATACACTGATAGACATGCCATTAAACATGACTGAATACTAGATCACCTACACATCAGTGATGTTGAGTGTACTTTCTTAGCAAAAGGTTACATTTTACCAAGCAACATCACATAGTGAGAGCTGCGACCCTTTGTCTTTCAGTGAGACAACCGAACAGAGCAAGCTTCCACAGTTGCACTAAGTTTTGATAACAGTTAAATATTATTTTAATAATACATTTATTTCAATGTTGATGAATTTAGAACGGTTTATTCATAACCTGATTATCTTTGTAGTACACTGTTGGATTTAAAAAACACATTCAAATAAAAAATCATTATATTTATGAACAAACAAACACACCTCTTTCTTAAATAACACACTTGCTCAGCAATAATATGTTTTTTGATATTTCTGTTAGGAAAGGACACGCCTGAGAGACAGGACTGCTTCACCATGTTCTCTTTCTCTGAGGGTCCAGAAGAACATCCAAGAGGGAAAGGAAAAGCTGATGTGATGAGATTTAAGAGCAGTACAGGACATTCACTAAGAGACACTTGTATTGTAACACAAAGACCTGCACACTGACTAGTTTTGTAGTCTAACAGGAACTTCATTTGTGTTGTTTTGTGTTTTACGTTGCACAGAGACAGTGTGATTGTCAGGCCTATAAAGTTTGGCAAAAAAAAAGTCAGCTGATCAAATGCATTTGCACTTTGAGCTTCACATCACTTGTGCCTTGTGCCGCCGAGTTTGGAACGTCATAAATAAATGGTACCAATCTTCAGTCAGATGTGAATGTGTAATTTAACATTTTCAGTAAGGATAACGGACAAAAGGAGTGCAAATACAATTTATTGAAATGTGAACTAAAAGTTATCAAGCATGAACCATCACCATTTAAAAAATAAATAAAAACGAAATAATATACATAAGTTACACTAAATGTTAATCTGTTAATTGACAGGCTAGGCCTGTGCAGGTGGTAACAGCTATGCCCAGCATGGGCTAAGTTCTGTAGGTGGTGCAGGTCCTCCTCCATCAGGTCTGGTCCTCCTCCCTCAGGTCTGCAGGGTCTTTCCCTGCGAGGAGGACTCCTCGCAGGGAAAGACCCTCAGCCCTTTCCGGCCAAAGCAACAGACAGGACAGGACGTTCATAAAGCTGAGGTCTCCCCCAAAGTCTCTAATCATCCATCCTGTGAATATGAGAGGGGAACAAATAGTGTAATAGATGCTTTGGACAATAAGAAATATAAAGTTAACTGTTGAGTTGCTCAGTTTTTTAGATTGACAGGGTTTAATAACACAAACAAAAGGAGAGAAATAAAGATTGGTCTTTCAATACATTGTGTTGATTTTGTCTTTTGAATTGTTTGTCTGAAGTCAAGTAGCTAGAACTGTTACTTATAGTTTGAATGATACAGTCTGGTTATAATGTGTGGAGGAGGCATCACAGGTAAGAGCACCATTTGTTGTGTTCCATCCACAACACATTGATGTGTATTTATTTATCTACTATTTCTTGAATCATTACTGTCAGTCCAAAACAAGAGATTTTGTTTTGGTAACATTTAAAAAAAAAAACATTATCTCTTTTCCACTACACTATCTTGAATACTTTAGTTTTTACGTCACTACATTTATCTAACAGCTTTAACATTGTAAAGGTGTCACTTCGGACTCTGGGTAATTATGACAGCATGTCCTACTCAGAGCTCTAGAGTCTCTCGGGCTCTGGTCCTACTAGTTTGAGACTTTGAACAAACCAGACCTTCATCTATTAATGTAGAAAATAGTTGGCACATTACACCATTATGAAAGTAATAATTAGTTAGCTCATTGTTCAAATGAGCTCCAACTACAACAGTTAAGTCAACTCGTGCATCGGTAATAACAATAAATCAAATGATATAATATAATAGAATAACTTGTGTCTACTTTAAATACTCTAACAACACTTGTTGCTAATTATACTAGCATACTTTTACTAAAGTAACATTAACATGTTTAAATGCAGGGCTTTTGTAAGAGAGTATTTCGTATAGTGTAGCATGGTCTACTTGACTTATCTAACCGAAGTGATCGTTACGTTACTTTGCAAAACCGTCCCCCCCCCCCCCCCCCCCCCCCCCCCCCCCCCCCCACACACACACACAAAAGGACACGGTAACGTTGTGATTCACTTCAATTAATGATAACTACGGAGCTTGCTAACAGCAAGGCACAAGGCTACTTCACTCATTTAGCTAATGTAAGATACAAATGCTGTCGAGCACCTTGTGCAGAGAGCTTGTCTCCGAGAAAGACAACTTCTTGAACTGCTCTTGTTAAGCTTGAGTCCATACTTGTGTATGCGCTCCAGCACCTTTTTCAGCCTCTCATTGTGTTCTTGTAGTGTAGAGCCCCACACAATGATGTCATCAACATATGCTCTAACACCGTCCAGCCCCTCAATGATGTGCTCCATTGCTCTGTGAAATATTTCGGATGCTGAGATGATCCCAAAGGGCAGTCTGAGGAAGCAATATCTGCCGAATGGTGTATTAAAGGTGCAATATTTGGTGCTGCTTTCATCCAGTTTCAGCTGCCAAAAGCCTTGAGACGCATCAAGCTTTGTGAAGAAGCTGGCACCTGCCATTTCACTTGTGATTTCCTCACGCTTGGGTATCTGATAATGTTCACGCTTGATGTTTTCATTAAGATCTTTTGGGTCCATACACACTCTTAAATCACCACTTTTCTTCTTTAAACAGACCATCGAGTTAACCCAGTCTGTTGGCTCCTCAACTTTTTGTATCACTCCGAGCATTGTCATTCTGTCAAGCTCTTTCTTTAAGCGATCTCTGAGTGGCGCTGGAACTCTTCTTGCAGCATGCACAACTGGCTGTGCATTTTCTTTGAGCTGGATTTTGTATGTGAAGGGCAACACACCAAAACCCTTAAACACATCTGCATAACTCTGTACTATACAATCAATTGAGTCATTTGGTGTACTCACAGTTGTGTTGATGCAATACACTCTCTTGACAAGTTCCAAATCTTCACATGCTTTATCACTCAGCAGTGAATCAAGTCCATCAGCGACAACAGAGAAAAGTAGGTGGTGCACTTTACCTTTTGAGGTTACCTTTAATATGCACACACCCAAACTGTTGATTTTCTTTCCATTATAATCTTTTAGTGCCTGTGTTCTTTTTTTAATTTGTGGCTTATCTTTCATTGCCTTGATGTCAGACAGGCTCATCAGGTTTGCTTTTGCACCAGTATCCAGTTTCATAGTTATTATTGTCCCGTTAATCATCAGTGGAGCTATCCATTTGTCTTCTCTGATTGCATTAACCTCTTTTTGCTCAGTTTCACAGTTCACCATGCCAACAAAAAATGTCTCACTTAAATCATCGTCTTCCACTATGTTTACAGACTTTTCTTTCTTCCTCTCATTTCCTTTTGAGAAGCACTGCTTAGCAAAATGGTTCTGGTCCTGGCAATTAGAGCATTGCTTACCAAATGCCGGACACTGTCGTGGTTTGTGCTTCGAGCCGCAGCGCTTACAGCTGAATGTTCCTTCTTCCGACCGCTGTGTAGGTGCGGTCTCCAGCCAAGGCCATTTGCCTTGGCTGGAGACCGCACCAACTGCTGCGCCATCACTCAGCTTAGCCGCGCCCGCCATCTCGCTGAAAGTCCTGACGTGCATTTGGGACAGCTCGCTTGCATGGCAGATTTTTATAGCTGCTTGCATGGCAGATTTGTATAGCTGCTTCACATGTCAGCTCCGTTTCCCTTAGCAGCCTTTCTCTGACCTTTTTATCCTCCACGCCAAAAACGATCTGGTCCCGTATCATGGAGTCCCTCAGCGTAGCAAAGTTGCATGACTGTGCTTTTAGCTTCAGGTCAGTCAGAAAGCTATCAAAAGGCTCATGCTGCTGCACACGTGAACGGAATACATATCTCTCGTATGTTTCGTTCTTTCTGGGAGAGCAGTGGGCATCACATTTCTCGAGCACTTTATCCAGTTTGTCTTTATCAGCCTACTCTTCATACACAAAAGTATTGTACACTTCTATCGCCTGTGGGCCTGCTATAGTTAGCAGTAGCGCTACCTTCCTAGCATCCGGCTTAGTTTCCAGTCCCATGGCCGTGATGTAAAGCTGGAACTGCTGCTTGAAGGTCCGCCAGTTGCTGTCGACATTTCCCGAAAGTTTTAGCGTCTCCGGTGGCTTTAATGAATCCATGTCGCTTGTCACAACTCCTCACTTAATGTGTTTTTATTTTACTTCATAATTTACTCCTGGTACCATGTTTTGTTTGTTGGTCTATTAATGAACTGACTCGTGCTCCATGCTAAAGTGTTAGCCAAGTTTAATCAAGAGGTCTTGTTCGGGTCCCTTACCGTACATGTGGATTTAAACATAGGTCACAACTATGTGGCGACACCTTGTGGTAGGAGTGTGTATCTATCTAATCAACACACAGGCAACTGTCAGTCTGAGCGCCTGTGAGTAGGCTACTATGGGAGGGAGGCGGGGCTCACGGCAGCACCCGCGGCTCGTTAACTGCAGAACAATACGTGAGTCTCCAAACACCAGAAAAGTCCCTAATAACACCATTATAAATAGTTAGATTAGTCGTTAGTCGCTTTTGACACAAATAAGTAGCCGGAGGGTTTGGAAAGCCGCCAAATTTAACGAGAAAATCGCCAAGTTGGCAACACTGTGCACCACTTGACAATGGTTGCATTCCAATAGTCCATTTAGCTAAGGAACCTTCCTAACCAAGTGAAATGACCCGGAAGTACGTCAGTGGCAGCCATGTTAAGTGCCGTTCCAATTCTCCAAATGAAAGGAAAGGAGGTTTCAAACTTCCTTTATAACCTCCTTTAGCTTAGGAACCACTGGACCTCCCTAACCGAAAGGAGAGGAGAAAATGCTGCCCCACAATGCATTGCAGCCGCAGCATTTGCCATCACAACAGTCGGCCGTTCACGGAAACAACCGATTATGACCGAGAAATGATATCATGAAAGTTACGGTGCTTATTAAGCATTTTAAAACGTATGTGGTAAGTTGCCAAAGTGCTTTTTTCTGAACGTTCATCAGTATTATAATCAAAAAGAGAAATATGAACGTTAGTTTTTACTGAAATTATCAAATAAAGTCAACATCTCACAGTCTTTACTGAGCTGTGTGGGGTTGTTCAACTTTTAAAAGATGTTTGAATGGTGATATACACAGTGATAGATGTTAAGGATTAACGTTTATAATAAATACATTTGTATTGATTTTAAGATATTTTCATACAATCATACGTATTGGGATCATTTGTATAAATGTGGACCGGAGGGAGAGGGTGACGAGCATAAGTTTCACTTTCCTTTTTTATTTCAATTCCAACTTTGGTCATGAAGAATATGTTTCTCTGTTGTCCACGTTCATAAAGCATAAAGCAACAGCATCAGAGCACGGTGCAGAGTCTCTAGATGAGTTTACAGTAGTCCCTCGTTCTTATTAAACATCCATGTTGTAGTCCGCTGTATAGAAAACTGTAGTTTCCATAGTTTCCCCACAGCAGCAGACGCACATTCATGACGTCCGCTGGCGCATCATAAACACGTCGGATAGTGAAAGTGCATTCGGATTCTCTAAAGTACCACGGTCTCTTCTCCTAAGTCCTTTTGAATTCTCCTATCCACTATCCCTTAACCCCGTGACGTTTCACTCAGAGGTCAAGAAATAGGAGATAGGTTTAGAATTTAGGAGTTGATTTTTGGATTATCGGAACGCAACCCTGCTCTGCATGAGAGCTAGAGAGAGATAGAAGGGGAGGGAACAATCCCTTATACCTGATACCCAGTGTTGTGCTAGTTACTGAAAACCAGTAACTAGTTACCATTACTAGTTACTTCATTTCAAAAGTAACTCAGTTACTTTACTAGTTACTTAAACCCAAAAGTAATGCGTTACTGTGAAAAGTAAAGTTTTAGTTACTTGCAAAAAGGGCTCCCATTAATGCCCTTATAGCCTTAATTTCAGTACTGTTATTGCATTGGAGAATAATACAATCTGTTGATCAACTTGACATGCATTATATGCAATCTGGATTGCATCGATATTAGCTGGCTTTCCATTTTTGTATATTCTTTCTCCAGGTAGTTGGAAACAGTTTTCCGTCCCATATGCCGTGTGCCGCCCGGACATGTTATCATGCTAACTAGCTCCCTGAAAGCGGGTGACTCCACTGTAGAAATAGCCTGCATGTGTTCTACAACATACCGTGCAATGGCTTTATCGACTTTTCCCTGGCCAGCAGTCCCTTGGTTAAAATCCAGCCGCTGTTGCTTAGGTGGAGGTGGAGTGGCGTCGGCTGAGTCTCTGTGGTCTTAGCTACTAGCTTCGTCCCAGCATGTTGTTTTTGCATTTGTTTTAAGAGATTTGAATTACTGGTTTGGGCAGTAGATAAGATCTTTGACCCGCCAGGACACAACTTACATTTAACAGAAACTTTCTTTTCTTTGTGCTCGACAAAAGTGAAATAGTGAGAATATCTCCAGGTGGAGAAACTAGACTTGAGCTCCGCCGCCGCCATGATAGTCTTGTTAGTAAACAACACAAACACGCCCACAGCCCATCTCCGCATGTGACACAGGAAGTATTTAAGTACATTTACTCAAGTACTGTACTTAAGTACAGTTCTCATCTCTGTTCGCCTGGCTGTTGACTATATAAAAAAAACTAACGGAGTAACGCACCATGTAGTAACGGTAACTGAGTTACTGAATTTAAAAAGTAATGCGTTAGAGTACTAGTTACTGCCAACGCGTTACAGTAACGCGTTACTTGTAGCGCGTTAGTCCCAACACTGCTGATACCTGACGTCAGCTAGCTGCGCCTCCTTACGCCTATAGCGCCCTCTTACTGTGGAACAGTTATAGTGCAGTTACATGCAGGCATATTAATACTTACACTTAACATGTTTAATCGTTAATGTCAGATATGTACTAAGTAAATACATTTGTTCCTGCTCAAGTTTAGATTCAACTTTATTGTTATTGCACATATTACAGGTACTGAGACAACGAAATGCAGTTTAGCTTCTAACCAGGTGCAACAAGCAGTGAAGTGAAAAGTAATGTTCACAATAAACAGAATAAAATATAGAATGAATTGAATGATGAATAAACAGTGAGGGGTATGAACGCACTGTTCATACTGTGAGCAGTATGAACAGTGCGTCTTTGTCCCGCGAGATTTCAACGTCTCATGTAGGCGAGCCTCCAGAGCAAGTCGGACAAAATGACTAACCATCATGCAACGCACTAGCAAGACGTTGATCGCAACTGCGCAGGTCTCGCTTGTCTCAAACAAGCCTAAAGTCTTCTCATTGAGAAAGAAGAAAAGAGAACTGCATACTATGGAAGCAAACAAGAGACAGAAGTATTTGAATTTTATTAGACACCGAATTTATAGCATTGAAAATAATTACTTTGAAAATCATGAATCTGAATTTGTTTTGCTCCGAATTTATCTATGTGAAATAAAAATGTAAAAATTCAAGTTAAAACAATTTGAATGTTCAAATTCAGATCCCAAAAATTCAAGTGAAAAAAATTCGACGTCAAATATTTCGGTGTTTAAAATTCGATGTAAAAAAATTCGGTGTGTAAAATTCGACGTCAAAAATTGCGATGCAGCCTCATCCGGGCTACTCAGACAGGATAAGCAATCGAGCCCTAATGCAATCAAACCGACTTCTGGCCTATCAGAGCCAAGCGGCAAACCCCGGGACAGTGCGGTGAAGCCCAACGCTGCAAACTGTAGGCGATGGATGCAGATGGGAGCAATTCCCGTAGACCCTTTGTTAAAATGTCCAACTTAAAAAATGAACATGTTTCTAGCCTGGATCTACAAAAACATATTCTGTATATAGTTAGATTCCCCCTTCATGACAACGGGACTGCTGCTCCTAGCTCCTCTCTGCTAGCTCCGTTAGCTCCGTGATGCTACAGCGGCTCAGCTCATGAGGAGAACACTACTTGAACTCTGCCGTGTTTGTTGTGTTGGTTCCTGGTGGACTATTCGTCATGCAAATATAGGATTTATCTGCGGTTGAAACAGACCGTCCATGAATGCAGTTTCTTCGGTAAGTCAACCCTGCGTACTTTATGTTATGTTACTGGTGTTTTTATTAAGCTAACGTTAATGAATGTTTAGAGTTGGGGTAGCATTTGAGCAATCGTAGCTCCATCTGTGCTAACGATGCTATGCGTAGCATCCAAGAGTGTAAAACATTAAGTGGGATGCTACTGTATACTAAAAGGCTTCTGTGCGAGGTTGCTAAAATAAGGTCATCCTTGTACGTTAGATAGTTAGTTTGCTATTTAGGTTACTGTATGCATTGTTAAGGTTCATTTAAATTCGCTATGCTCTACTATAGCATAAAATAGACTAGCTAACGTCAACGTATTGTTGAAGAGAGGCTTAGTGTATATTAAATCAACCTCACAATGAAATATGTGTATCTTTAAAATATGAACGTCACATTTCAAGATAATAACGCTCCCTTAGATATTGTAATATGGTTTGTTGAACTGGAGTTATGTATTGCAGCTAACCGCCTATCCGACGAACGACCCAAACATTGTTGTTTTTAATATTATTACCAATGCCTCTTTTAATTGTATTATCATCACACTTGAGAAACAGCCTCATCGTGGCTGTACAACGGAACATGTAACTTAATGCCTGCATTTAAGGATGATGAATAGCGTAGTCAATGCTTTAGTGACAAGGAAATGATTTGTTTAAATATGATATATAACGTTATCTGTGACTTCAGTGGAAATTAAGCTTATCCATTGCATTGCATTTGTTCAATAGGTTTGTGTCTTACCCCTTACGTGTGTGATACATATGAATATGGCATATGAAAACAAATTAATTTGACTGACTCATGAAAACCTCATCCAAAGTAACAGTAAAATAAAAAGGACCTACACAATAATACTCAATCAAACTGATACAGTATAAGGACTGTGATATCCAGCCATTTCTTAAGTATAACAATAAGATTATGACCTGTTTTTAAAAGAAGATAAAAAGTTGTTTGCATGGAAAGAAGTCTGTAACCCATGCATGTAACTTTACATCTGTTTGTTCAAAGTGTCCTTAAGGTGATCCAGACAGGCTGGACCAGAGGAGGAGAGACAGATCTGGACTCCTAGCAGCAGAGAACTTCAGCACGGATTCCAAGGTACACCTTTTTCATGCTTTACAAAGAATGCATAAAGTAATGACTCCAATACACTGATATACATGCCATTAAACATGGCTGAATACTAGATCCCCTGCACATCAGTGATGTTGAGTGGAATTTATTAGCAAAAGGTTACATTTACATTTTACCAAGCAACATCACATAGTGAGAGCTGCGACCCTTTGTCTTTCAGTGAGACAACAGAGCAAGTTGCACTAAGTTTTGATAACAGTTAAATATTATTTTAATAATACATTTATTTCAATGTTGATGAATTTAGAACGGTTTATTCATAACCTGATTATCTTTGTAGTACACATTCAAATAAAATAAAATCATTAT